CAACTGGAGACAAGAGCCGAAGACTACCTCTCGAGTCAGACCCCTGCCCCTGCGCAAACCTAACCCACTCCCTTCACCAAGAGCCGGTGATGGCTAGCTAGACTCACCTGACAGAATAACTAGCCCCGAAACCCCACTGTCTTCACCTCACTGCTAAACCGCCCCAAAGTCCTAAAGCCAAAGATAGCATCCGTCGGCGGCCACTCCCCATCTTAACCCCAAGAGACGGAGGAGAAGAAGAAGCAAATGCCGACAGACCCGAGTAAGCTACCGCAATCCTCAACCCGTAAAAAAATCACCACCAAGACAACTGACGAGCTTACCCAAGGATGGCAAGCTATATCGAATGAAGTGTCAGAACAAAGTTCATGGGGTGAGAGCTGCGCCAGAAGGGTCGTCTCCACGAAGCGTCGGAGCTGCGGTTGAGAGAGACTACACAAATGAGATCAAAAGAGACAAGCTGTTACACTAAATGGGAAATTAGGGATTTTTTGGAACGAAGGGGTTTTTTTTTGTCTTTGTGTATTTTATTTAATTAGTTTCTACCTAGTATTGATAGAAATTTTATTTTTCTATTAAAAATAATGATGTATTATTTATATATAAAATATGTATATCAAATCGAAACTCATCAATGAGAATTCTGATGTATTCGATGGATTCGATGGGAGAGGCATTTGCTGAGATGGGTTAAAGTGAATTCTGACGGCTCTTATAGTGGGTTGTCGGGCTTACCCTATGCCGACAGCCTTATACGTAACAAACATGAAAGGTGGTTAGGGGGATTTACAATGAAAATAGGCTTCTGTTCGATATGGCGGCGGAGTTGTGGAGGCTCTTTCAGGGTCTTTGCTTGGCTTGGGATATGGGCTTTCGGCAAGTGGAGGGAGAAGTTGATAATGCGAGTGTTGTGGGATTTTCTGAATCTTTGGGTGATGTACCGAGGGTGCACACTGGCCTCATCTTTGGTATCAAATACCTCTTAGGTCGTTCTTGGATGGTTAAGGTTAGGCATGTGTTCCGCGAAATGAACTTAATTTGCGGCCGACCATATGGCTGGCTTCCTTCGCTGCGGACGGTTTGGTCGGGTACAATATTTTTCACGAAAAATATTACAAGTACATAATAAATGTACATAATACTCACCTGGAGTGGGGTCTACTTGATTTTAAATTTTTGGTGGGTCTCACTCAATGTGAGTGCTACATACACTGATACACCCTTATATACAATATTATGTACTTATAGCATTAATCGCCTTTCACGATCCATCCTATGCGGCACGGCAGCAGTTTAATCATGATCTTATTGACGTGTTCTATTCGCGGAACGTTTATGACTTAAACTCTTAGATGTGAGCTTCTTTCTTTGTGAAAAAGAAAAAAAGAAAAAAAAAATGAAAAGAGGTAGCAAGAGAAATATGTCTCCGCAAAACGACAGCAGAGTTAAAATTTTAATTGATAACGCCACAGTGTAACAGCAATAAAATATCCATTATTTACTTAGTCCATGGATATTTATATATTGCTAAGAAAAAAAAAAGGATTAAGAATGATGAGAGTGGGGCAAAAGGGTCATTTGGGCAGAAAGAGGCGTTCCCATCTTTTTAGCCTTTAAATACATCCAAATGCCCTGCACACTTAGATGTGGACATCATCTTAATTTGTCCCAAGTACTCCACTTCTTCATCCTCTCCTCCTCAATTACTCCTCTCTCTCTCTCTCTCCCTAAATTCCAATTTCTTTTTTTTTTTTT